GCTGAGTTTAAGTATGCAAAATCTTTATTAGTACAATTTAATATATTAATGTATTAATCTTAATGTCAATGAGTCTGATGTGTATGACTATAATGTCATGAATTTTTTTTTTTTTTAAATTTTATATTTATTATTTTTGAATTTCAATTTGCGTGGCACGTGAGTTCTAAGGGTCTTTTAGGACATTTATTTGTATATAGAACTCTTGTAAATGCATTTCGAGTCACTTTGCTATTTTTGGATTTTAGGACCGATCCCGTGTAGGCCTAGGGCCGGGTTTTCATACTAGAAAATTTTGTTTCTCACCATTTCTACACCAAATACCGTAGTCACATAATCGCATACATTCGCAAATCATGCTATACTATAATCATGGAGGTCATACTATAGCAAACAAGTAGCAATAAAATGTACAAAGACAAAATATGGGCCACAAATTAAACCGGTTGGCTGGTGGAACAATTGGTCGGCCGAAAGGACAATATTGGTCGACCGATAAAACACTTCGGTCGACCGGTTCTGCTGAAAGCAAAATCCAAGGAAGAAGATGAAGAAATAAAAATCCGAAACTATTGTAACCTAACTCACACACACATATGCATGCATAACAAGCTCTAAACCCGTAAAGCTCAAAGAAAACATAAATTTATAAACTAACAAACTCTCCACCTCATTGAAATGAAAATCTCAAAAACATGAAAAATAAAAAATGCTCCAAAATAAAAATAAAACCAATCAATGGAAAGCCCAAGGTGTCCGTGTCACTTCTCCCTTCTACGACATTTCGAGAATCCGAGTGGAAGGCCATCAAACCGAGTCCCCAAACATGAAGCAAAATGAAAGAAAAAATGAGAAAGGAGAGAGGAGAGAGAGGAAACGGATGAGAGAGAGAGAGAGGTGCCACACATACACATATGTGACCCAAGAGTCACATACGGGTCCCACTGAATATCAAATTTGTACAAAGGTCCAAACACAAAATATCTGAAAAAGTAATAATGCAAATATTCCAAAATAAAATAATAATATTCAAAGTGTCTCAAAAAATAAATAAAAAAGTGTTTGGAAATCATTTCCGAATACTCAACTCGGCCCGTGCCCACGTGACCCAAACCTGAAAATGAGCAGAAAAAGAAAATAGGAAAAATGAGACAAGTCCTCATGAAGGCCGTAGCAAAAAGTGAAAATTATAGAAGTCTTCTTCCAATTTATTTCTAACAAAAATTCTTAATCCGTTTTCTATATGTAATTTCAACTATTTGTGCAAAATAGAAATTCAATTTTAGATAACAAAATAAAATAAAATTGATTTTATTAACATCAGTAGTTAGGCCTTCTTGTTAATTAGTTTTAGAAATAATTGACTTTAATATAGGATTTGCTAAAGTAATTCAATTGTTCCTTAGCATTATCCCAGCCAATTTGAGGAGACCTAGATAGTTAAAGTACAGTCAAACTTTAATCTATTTATAACAATTATGATTTTTATGTTTATTAAATAATTTCAATGCACTGATTCGATGCTCCAAACATAACTTTATTATATTCCAATGGATTTATCTTATTTGTTTTGATACCAATGGATCAAATTACCTGCATAAAGTTCTCGTTTGAATCATGTTCACTTTCAAATTCATACACCATACACCTTATCATCAGAGTAATCCTAACAGGTTCTGTTTTTGCTTGTTGCACAGTGGATACAAGCGAATATTAGAATGTTAATAAAACTCATTTTAACTATCAAAAAATGACAATCTTATTCCCGTCCAACCAAACAGAGTCCAACCAAACAGAGCCTAAAGAGAAAAACGGCCTGTGCGGCAACTAAATCAACACAAATGTATATATATTATATATACAGGGAAAAATTTGCTGCAAGCAAGTCTAAACCCTAGCACCTTTCAAGCTTCATAACAACAAACCATCAACCACAATGAAAATTGCTTTAATTTTCGATCACCACAATGCACAAAACAGTGATAACTCCTCTCACCACAAACATTAATTATAGTGTTAAAACATTTATCTGAAATGATGAACAAACTGTACAGAATACAAAACTATTCTCTCATCCTTGTGACCAAGCTATTTGTACTTTTTACTCAATCGTCCGGCTATGAAAGGTTAAAGAAATAAGTTTGACAATATAATTAAGATGAAAAACACGAACAATTTCCGAATATTCGTGCATAAAGAACGATAATATACACGGAATACTTGAGAGTTTACTGGCCCTAGACTCCTCTCTTGAAACTCAAACTTACACAGACTACTCGAGAGTTAAATTAATTACGAAATGAGTTCCTAGTTTTCTGAAATACTGTCAAAGATCTCTGTGTGACTCTAATTCAGAGATAAAGCATAAATAGCTTTAGGCTTAAACTTTAAAAACGTAAAATCCAATGCGGAAAAGCATCAAAAAAACCAAAAGACAACACTGTTCAGATTTGCATAGAAAAATATAACAGGAAGAAACTATCATAAACCATACAAAATCCATTTATATAATGAGATCGATCTAATCTGGCATTTTCTGTTCATGTAAAACAATTATATCTACTGCCATCAACCCAAAAAAACACCATATCCCAAACTATGATATTCCATTAACAATTATAACTACTTAATATCATATTATCGGGTGTGCTTTGTTACCCGGTTGGTGGGCAAGCTCCACGATGTGGGTTGTGAGCCTTGGTTCGAGCCACCCGTCCCCCTCCCCTATATATATATATATATATATATATATCTTAGCTGAGATATGAACTTGTAGCAACTACATAAGCAATTACCACCAAAAATATATACACAACCAAAAAAGATAGAATTAACATCATTAGGAGGCTTTCAGTAAACGCTGCAGTTTTCGAAAATGAAAATAAAAATGGATAAACAGCAGCATTTGCATTAGGGGGTGTTTAGTAACTACACTTTAGTTTTCGGGATCTTTGTCTTTAACACCAGACCCATATATCTATCTAACCTTCTCATTTCTAACTAACTCCCATCTCTCTAATACTCGATTGAGAGAGACCCATATTTCTAATCTTCTTCACATTTCTCACTCACTCCATCTCTCTTAGCATCAGTACATTATCTCACTCCACTCATCTATGTCAACCTTGCCACTATTCAGACCATAATGTTTCGACCCGCTTGTAACAATCACAATAATAAAAACGTTTTATAAATGAAACGCCCCGCAACCAATAAGCTCTAAATCTGATTAACCGACAAAATCTGTAAGGTAGATCTGAAAGATTTCAAGTAGATTTTGTAAATTAATCTCTAGATTGAGTTTATTTTGTAAATTAGAGTTTAAGGTTTGTAGATTTTGTAGATAGATCTGAGTAGATTTGTGAATAATAAATCTGCAAAAATCAGATTTTCACAATAGCAGCAGATGACCAGATAATGGAAGATTATTAACAAATCCATTTCAGATCTGAAACAGATCTGCAAAACCTCACAATCCCTAAATTCTAATCTACAAAATAAACTAAATCTAAAGATAATTTATTTCAGATATAATCTACAAAATAAAATAAATCTAAAGATTAACTATTTTAGATTTACTTATAATCAGTGAAGTAGGTGGAATTTAAGATTTTACCTTGCAGATTTCGTCGGCAACAAAATGTAAAGCTTCAACAGAATAAAGTGAATGGTCTATATAGTGATGAGTTAAAGAGATAATGAAGTGAGAGTGCACTGAGGAGCAAGTTAAAATTGAGAAGAAGGTTGGATACATTGATCTCTGTCCGTTAAGACAGATCCTGTCATTTTTATTGGCATTGTAGAAACATGCAACTCTTTTTGGCACCGTCGTTTTGATGCTGCCAAAATTACACACCCGGATTCAACTTTCCACAAAAATGCTTTCTACTCTTAGAAAATTAAAGAGTTGTTACCAAAAATGGTGTCTACAGCCAGTTCTCTTCTCTCTCTCTCTTTTTTTTTTTTTTTTTTCGCAGCAAAAAATAGAAACGGACATCATTTGCCAAACACCCCCTAATGATGTTAATGTGATTTTGTATGTGCATTTTTAGGTCGATGACAGCCATAGGTATGATTGTTTTACATGGTAGCCATGGATTTTGTACTTAAACTATTTATGATTGCTACTTGCTGTTATATTTTTCTATGCAATTGCAACTAAAATAAACCTAACTAATATATATATACACACACACACACATGCATGTGTGAAATGAAGATATGGATATAATGTCAAGCAACAAGTGATAATCACCAAAGAGAAAGTGGTAAAAACCACCCCTAACATACAAGTTGTGAATCAATGTTGCTGAAACACTACACAACTAAACTGTAGTCATAACATTTATTTTTTTCTCCTACTCTGTAATTCTACTTACATTCTCTTCACATTTTTAAGTTAGTACAAAAGAATTAATAGACTCCTACCAAGAAATAAATATTTCAGAGCAGAATTTGTAAAACACCACCATCGGAAACATTTATTTTTTCATAGATATTCAATAAGAACAAAAAAGAACGGCAAGGGGAAAATCCTATAAAGAAGATATTGTTCTGCACTACCAATTTCACCAAACAGCATCACAAGCAGCCAACAAGTACATGTACCATTTCACCTCCCAAATAAATATAACAAAGAACTATGAATACATGTTTAGAAAGGAAACCATGCAAAGCAGGAAAACAAAAATCTCTTTGGTAACAGTTTCCAAAAACTATTTTTATGAAAACTAGGTTACAAAGAAATTTGAGAGTTTAAGAACCTGAACAAAACATACCCAATTTGCGTGTAAGGAGCCTTGGCAAAGACATCTAATTATGGGTTCCAATTTAATAAAAAGATCAATCTAATCTGGCATTAGATTTTAAGTTCAATAATTATATCTATGGCTTCTATCAACCTAAAAAAATTACTATATCACAAACTATAATATTCCAATGATATTTATAACTGCTTAGAATCATACTAATTCCACATTAAAATCATATTATCCGAGATATAAACTGAAAAACACACACAAACACAAATCACATTAACAAATCTAACAATTAATTCAAAATGTGCCAACATTTGATCAAAAACACCATAAAAATAGGTCCTTTTCCTCTCAAAACAAACATCTAGAAATAAACTGTAGTAATAAAGTAACCGAAACTTAATACCGATATAGATCGAACCGAAGCAACGAATCAATCAATCAACGCTCTGCATGATATCCTCGGCGGTGAACTTAGTCCCCTTGTCCTTATCCGCGGCGGCGCGGCCCTTGGCCTTGCGGTCGAGCAGGGACTTCCGGTCCTTGTCAAGGCGGAGCTTGGTGATCACCACCTTCGAGGGGTTGATTCCGACGTTGACAGTGGAGCCGTTAACCTTCTCACGGGTGATGCGCTCGATGTGTATGACCCACTTCCGGCGGTAGACCTGGACCACCTTGCCCTCGCGGCCCTTGTAGGTGCCTCGGACCACCTGGACTTCGTCGTCCTTTCGGACCGGCATCGAACGGACGTTGTACTTCGACCGGAGGTCCGACGAGAGGGGAGAGCTCATCAGGATGCGACGGACGCTCGACGGCGCCGTGAAGTGAGCCTTCCTGCTCTTGCGGCGGGAGCTGGATACCCTAGGATTGAACTTCATTTTCTCTCTCCTCTTTTTCTCTCTCTAAGCTCTGCAACTCGGATGACGGCAAGAAGAGTCGTAGGGTTAGGGTTTTGGGGAATTTATTGGGATTTTTTTTCGGCGTATTGGCTTTGGAACGACCTCGTTCGATAGCACTAGGTCATTTGGGCCAAGGCTTAGATTCTGTCTTGGGCTGGCCATCTACTGAATATGGATTTGAGTTTGGAAAGATTTTGATATATTTTGGGGCCATATTAAGACTATGAATATGATCAAACTATGGAGTTGTTTGGTTTATAATTATGAAACCGTTTTTTGTTATAAGAAAATTGAAAACAGAGTTATAAAATTGCGGGCTTGCTTGATTTATAACTCTGAAAATAGTTCTCAAGACAAAGAACAAAAAACAGTTTAAAGACAGTTATCTAAAAATAGGTCTTTTTGTAACTAAGTTTTTAAAAGACTGAACTAAGAAGAGCTTTTTTTGTAGAGTTTTCTATTTTTCTGTTCTCGGAAAGGCCGCATGTTTTCAGAGAACTGCCTTTTATAGTTATCTGGAAATAGTTTTATGTTCTCTGAATTTTTTAGAACTCTTTTCAGAGTTACAAGCTAAACAGATCTAGACATTTTTATAACTAATTTTTTAATAAAACAGTTCTTAAAAAATTGAACTAAGCTATTTTTTTATATACAATTTTCTATTTTCCAAAGTTACCATATACCAAGGCAGATAGAAGGGTGAGCCTACCAAAAAAAAAATTACTATACTAATATTAGCCCAGTTAAAGAAAAACAAAAACAAAAAAAAAAGCCCATGGATGATGGGCCACCAGGAAAAAATTAAAAATAAATTTAGGGCACACCATTTCAGCCTCCCACGTTCGCCTCCTTTTAGCCTCCTCCCAGGTGAAATTTTTTATGATCTTTTTTATATAAATTTTTATTTTATTTTATTATATGAATTTTAGTTATAAATATATGTGAAGATAATGACTGAAACGGGATATCCCTTTGAAGGATCTGAACGACTAATTGGTAAATTTTGGTTGAATTTGAATTTTACTTAATATAGGGCTTGGTTGATATATTTTGATTTAGGTAAATTACTTAAAATTACTTGTTCTGCAAACTAAAATAGAATTAAACAACAGTTGGTCTTCCTTGGCTAGCAACAGCATGGTAATTTTTAAATAATCTCTCCTTTTTCTGTACACAAGTAACAATGTTCAAACAGAAGTAGATAAGTCGACATAATGATTGTAATTTGAACTAGTGATTTATACCACAGCAAAATTACTTAAAATTACTTGTTTTACAGACTAAATATAGAGAGAGAATCTGTTTTATTATGTGTTTTATACTTGTTTTTATTAATACTATGTGTTTTATACATGATATAAATTTCGGTTGGTGGTTCATCCCTAATTTGTTTGGGTGGGACTTGATTTAGGATTGGACTTTGTGTTATATTAATCTGGGTTACGGTACCACTCGCTGCCAAACAGATTGCTAGGGCTTGGTATATGTTGTGTGCTATATAAGGAAGGAAAGAAGAAGATTGATCGATCTGTGGTGATGGCAGCACTGTTTCTAATGGGCAAAATGGAGGATAAAATAAGAAAAGATTTGAGAAGAAAAACGAAGATGTATCCAGGTTATCTTGAATATCCAAAAAGCTTCCCTCCTCAGCCGTTGGTTGAGAAAACTGTCTATATTCGTGTTAACAACCCTCCCCAAGGAACGAATGATTGGTATGCGTTTAAATTATCAAGCAACGCAGCTCCTCCTCCCCTCCCGGCGTTGGACGTCGGAAAAGGAAGAGAGGAGGAAAAGGGGAGGAGGCCACTACATCTATCAAACCTATCTTGGAGGGTGCAGAGACTCCATGGTCGGGCTGCTGTGTCTCTCTCGGCTCCACTATTTACTGTATTGGTGGTGGCGAATTTTATAAAGATTCTTCCCGGAACGTCATTGCCTCGGACGCCGTCGGTGGTGGACAGTGGAGTGAAGTAATTAAGATGAAAGCTAGCAGGGCGCGAGCTCGAGCAGTGACTGCTGGTGACAAGATCTATGTCTTTGGCGGTGTTGGCAAGGGCAACGATAATGAGGTTTTAAAGCCTCGTGGTCCGCAGATTGAGGTTATAGACCCAATCAAGAAAACGCGGGAAAGTGTTCAACCACCTCCGGTGCCCTTTGATTTTAATTTCACTGATGGTGAATTCTTTGTAACTTATGAGGACCATTCACGGAGGATTATCTCCGGTTCCTTCAAACACGGAGTCCTCCTTGCTTATGACGTGACAAAAGGAGGAGGAGGTTCATGTTCATGGGAGGTAATCGACCCTGATTTTGGATTTCAAGCCGACATTCTCTCCGGACCTGCATCATTTGACAGCTCTTTGTACTGGATCACTTTGGATGATGATGGAGAGTTGGAGTTACTTTTGTATGATTTGAATATGAAAATTTGGGATTCCTCGCGTATCATAGGTTTTGATCATTTCATACATCGGTCTAGTTACTATATACCACCCTTTTTTCATTTCTGTGGTAATCAGTTCCTCGCGTATCATTGGTTTTGATCATCTCTTACATCATTCTAGTAGATATATACAACCCTTTTTTCATTTATGCGGTAATCAGTTCGGCTTGATTTGGCATGATGGTGCTATTGATATTGGCTGTGGTAAATACCATTCTCTCATTAAGTGCTCCACAATAATAGTTTCTAAAAGAGTTGACAAACAGAAACTGAGAATACTGTCACGAAGCGATTCCTAAGACGCTTGGAGGATGGAAGACACGCATGCTGGTTGGCAAAGAGCAGAGTTTGACTGGGAATGGTTCCAGGGAAGGGGCGTGCAGGAGCACAGGATGGTACCTCTTCAGAGTTCAGGCAGGTCAACTCGGTTCAGTTCGAGGTGCTTGTCGCTGGTCGTGGACTTGACTATGAAGAAGGGAGTTGGCCATCCCTGCACAAACTGGTCGGGAGCTGGAGCCGTTCCCCTGACGAGGCCATGGCAGGCCGAAACCAGTCAGCATGTATCCTTGGGAGGGCAGGTCGTGGTGGCTGACCAGGGCGCTTGCGCGAGCCGAAGCAACGCCTTGGTGCCGCACGGGCCGTGCTGCTGCGCCAAATCTCTAGGCCCGTGACAAATGGTATCAGAGCAGGACTTGGGGTAAAGCACGGTAGGGTGCCCCCTTGTCGGTCCGGGAGGGGTCAGAGAATGAAGACGGTGCATTGAAGTTGCGTCGATGAGGAGGAATCAATGCAGTTGGGGGAGAGAGCCTCCATCTCCCCAGGAAGAAGCGTCTGTTGAAGTTGCGCATTGAAGGGCCGGAGGGCCGCGCGCACCAAAGTTCGTGCTTAGTCCTTGGGTGATGCAAACCATGGTGAAGGGCGAGCATCAAGTCGGCAGAAGGCCATTGCTTGCTCGGGATGTCGCGGAGGCGGCATGACGGAGAAGAGTCACGTCCTTGAGGAGTGGACGTCCCCTTGGTCCGAGGCCTATCATTGGGCGAGTGCAGTGCAGGGAGCTGCACAAGGAAGCGATGGTGGGAAGGCGAGCATACCGCATGGAGGCAGACTTTGGAAGGGAGTGGACGCAGTAGTGAAGCGCCGCACTGTGACGAGGACGTCGCAGGATTTGGGTGGGGGAGAATGTCACGAAGCGATTCCTAAGACGCTTGGAGGATGGAAGACACGCATGCTGGTTGGCAAAGAGCAGAGTTTGACTGGGAATGGTTCCAGGGAAGGGGCGTGCAGGAGCACAGGATGGTACCTCTTCAGAGTTCAGGCAGGTCAACTCGGTTCAGTTCGAGGTGCTTGTCGCTGGTCGTGGACTTGACTATGAAGAAGGGAGTTGGCCATCCCTGCACAAACTGGTCGGGAGCTGGAGCCGTTCCCCTGACGAGGCCATGGCAGGCCGAAACCAGTCAGCATGTATCCTTGGGAGGGCAGGTCGTGGTGGCTGACCAGGGCGCTTGCGCGAGCCGAAGCAACGCCTTGGTGCCGCACGGACCGTGCCGCTGCGCCAAATCTCTAGGCCCGTGACAATACGCCTGAGAGCTTATTCTCTCTCCACCAACACTTACGTACTTCCTAGAACATTTTACATCATGGATGCTGTGGTGCTGTAAGTGATTCTCCTACTTTTTACTTTTTTTATGACTTCTTTTTTAGTTTCTTGAAGCTGATCATCATATACATATATAGTACTTTGTGCTTCACCTCCTTGCTTACGTTGACTTGATCAGATTTGAAGTCCTCAACCCAATTTTGGTCCAATGGTCCTTAATTCAATTTTAAGAATTTTAAATCAAAATGCAACATGAATTACTAGCTCTTACCACTTAGTCTATCCAGGTCTTGAACTCTGATATTCAATAACTTTGAGTTCCTCAACCGCAAGATTTGAACATATAAATTACATCACTAACGCTAGCCATACCTAGTTCTCTCCTAATCTTACAGAACTTGTCCTCTTGAAGAGTTTTAGTGAGAATATCAGCTTATTGTGTTTATGTTTGAACAAATTCAAGCTTCATATCTCCTTTATACACATGATGTGTCAGAAAATGTTGTCTATTTTTTTTTTAAAAAAAAATGTTGTCTAATTTCAATATGCTTAGTCCTTGAGCGTAAAATCTTGAAGTTGTTGTCACATATTCTGCTTTTGTCATGGAAAGAACTGTTGTGCTTTGTTTTTTTCACTAAACCTTGAAACTGGGGAATGTTTATAAATTATATAAATTACTTGATATATTTTGCTTTTGCTTTTGGTAGTGATTAAATTTGTGTCTTTTAGAATTCTAAATTTAATAGAAATTAACAATTATAATTATTGATATAATGTTTATGTGAGTATGTATAAATTTTACACTTTGCTTTTACTTTTTATAAGAATTTTTTAGTGTAATTAATTTTGTGCCTTTTAGAATTCTAAAAAAAAAGTTACACTTATAGATATAGATACTCTTTAAATGTTACATTATGATTTTAAAAAATATATATATAGGAAAAATATTTAGAAATAACGAAAAGATATAGATATTGATAGATATACCATCTTTAACTTTTTTTAAAAAAAA